TTTTTTTTTTATTTTGGGTGGATTTTTTTAATATTTTGCATAGAACCTGATTATTAAAACATTGATTGGAGAAGAAGATTTTGAAATAGCTATATTATTAGTTATAAAATTTATCTTTTTTTTTTCTTTTTTGTTTTGTATAATTATTTTTTGGGTTATAAACTGTAAATCTGTAACCACATTATTATAAGAAATAGCTGATGCAGAAATCTTTTTGTGCTAATTTCACGCACAAACCCTATGTAATTTGTAAGAGTATTACATGTGGATGAGCGAGATTAGGTGCAGATTGGTGGTATTGGGGGTGGTAGTGAGATAAATATCACTCCTAATCGCCCTAATACCACAAATTCGCAATGTGAATACGTCACGTAATATTTGCTCCTGTAATTGTGATAGTCAACATAAAATGCTAGTAAGTTTAAGGACATGCACGATACATAACCACCCAATTCTTTTGCATGTACATATCTAACACCTAAACTTTTTATATTTTTATTTTCATATCATTCGCATCACATAAAAAATAGCACATCTCATTTTTAAAAAGTGAAGTCCTTTTTTTATTATGCATAAACATGGTGGCATGTATGTCAAAATTGAAGTTTCTGTTATGTAAATACATAAGAGTTGAGTGTTATGTATGTAAATCTCTTTTTATTATTATTATTGAAAGTTACATTACACTCTTTGCATTATGCCAATTGAAGTGAATGATCGGATCAGTCGTTCAATTCAATTTTGAGATTAATCAAATTTGATTGTAACATTGGTCTATCAAATATCAATTTTAGCCATACGTGCCGTCACATTGGCTGATCAATCAGTGATATTGGCCATTCTTTTTGAAGTATATGAGCATATGATTTCAATTTCGAGCCGTATATCCTGAAATCTAACTGGGCTTGATAAATTTCGATACCGAGTGGAATTTAGCTTTTTATTGGCTCATTAAATATAAGCAATTTAAAAACTGTCGAATCTCTCAAGTTAAACCGAGAGAGAAGTTAGATTCAGATTTTGTTAAATGTAACATGCATATAATTAAATAATTAATACTATTATAATAAAAATGGTAAATTCAAACAAATATTACAATAAAAATGATCTAATGAATACTTATGAAATTTTATTTTTAAAATATGTATTGAAATACTTAATTTTAAGTATTTCAGCGTACTTCAAATATGTTTAAACTCTTCTTGAATTGATGAATTTAGTCGCGACTAACTTGAGTTTGGCCTGTTAACTCATCAAACTGTTTTCATGAGCCACAAGTTGAGCTGAGCGAGAGTTAGCTTGGCTCATGTCCTGCTCATCAGAGCTTAAAATCATGGATTGTAACAAATAATTTAAAATAAGGGCATTTACATATATACCACACAATTCTCAGCTAAATATTTGAAATCATAACCTCACATCAGAAAGGTGATGCATACGGGCACAGATATAAATATCAAAAATTGAGTGTTAGATATGTAAATAGATAAAAATAAGAATTGTGGAGTATGTATATAAATTTCCCAATTAATTATAAAATAAAAAGCAAAAACTAATAATACACAAGGAAACCATAGCAGGAACAAAGCACCAGCAAAGCATTTTTAACACGGCAGATTCTATCTCAACAAAGCTCCGGAATCCCAAATACATGAAAAGGCTTACAGTTCTGATTCTTATTTCGGTTATAAAAGCCTGCAGAAATGATAAATTAGTAATCTTTGGTGCCGAAGTTCTTGCACCACAGCTGCGATGGTATGGGGCGAACTGGGTGATGGGGTCGTTGCTGCATCATACAGTAAAAAGACTTTACCATCAGACTCTATATAATAACAATTGTTACTTATTATTAATAAGCTTCGGTCCTAAGAAAAGATATACGAAGGTATTTACACATTTCTCGTATGTCTACATAGCAAACACGTGAACTTTCAGATTCACATGCCTCGCACTCTGATCTTTGACACTATAAAAAAAAAAAAAAAAAAAATTTGAAAAAAGGGACATTTGCGTATATATACCACCCAATTCTTCCAAAACATAAGAACTGAATGGTATGTGTATGTAAACCTTACAAAACAATAATCAAATCACAACTCTTCTTCATATATAATAAGCAAACGATTTGGACACTTACCAATGAAAATATAACTCAAGAAGATAAGAAATACAACATAAGAAGGGGAAAAAAAAACTAAAATAGGAAGCTCCCCTTAAGCTGGGTTAGGATGTTTGTAAAGACCCGGCTTAGAACTCAGAACAGTGAAGCTACTTAGAGGTAAAGATTTACTGAAGACATCAAAGACTTGAAGATGAGTTGGAATGTAGATTTAAGTGAATAAGGTCTCCATTGACCTTTTCAGAGATAAAATGTATATCAATCTCAATGTAGTTGGTCCTATCATAATGAATAGTATTTTTTTTTGCAATATTAATTACGGCTTAACTATCACAGAACATCTTTATGGGATTGACAATAGAGTGTCAACTCATTTAGCAACCTTTGCAACAACATTCCTT